TTTTTTGTTGAAATCATTTAACCTATTTACGTGAAAAGAAATCAGAATTTTCATATTTATATGAAGGAATAAAAGAAAGACGCTAAGGTAGTTTGATGCTAATATCTCGAAAAGTAGTAAAACATGCACGATAACACTTCGAATGAAAAGTTCACTTCCTCAAGGTAATAGGTACGCATTATAAATGATGAAAGTTTACAAAAATATGTATCCACTGACTAGTGTTTTGTGTATGTGAAATTTGTGCTGAGCTAGCACTTACCCAGACGTACTGTGTTAACTATAGCGGAATTAGACTGAGAAAACGACAGAGGATCCTAAATAAAAAGCATTACGATTGCACCATAAGTTTATTGACAATCCTTAGCTGCAGTAAGTTAGTTATAAATAATGCAGAGCCTAGCATAGGTACGTATCAAGCCGAGTTGATACAACTCAATGAAAAGAAATTATCGAGATGAATAGCGAAATAATAGTAACAGAGATCGTATAAAAGATTAGGCATATAGAACAGTTCGAGAAATAAAACATATACAATAATTTGGAAACTTAGCATCTAAGAGATGAAATAAAGAGTGAATGCAACTGATCGACTGTGGCTGAAATATAATAATTCGATATTGATGAAGTTTGGATTATATTGCGACAATTCCTGCTCAGATAGTAATGTGAATTTAACAATAAGTTATGAAAGAAGATATGTAATGTCGTTCTTTTAATCGAATATTAACATTGTGAAGTCATTTTTTCGTCTGTTAGAACTTTATCAACATGAAGTATGAAGGCAACTGAATCAATGAAAACCACTCATATGCCAGCGAATTCGTACCCTCATTTCTGTAATATGTATGATGAATGTTGGTTGTTCAGCATAGTACTTTTTTTACATTTGATCTTCTATACACAAAAAGTAGTGAAGCAAAATATATGAAAGCGTTTCAATGATCAACTGTGCGATAAGCAATCTTAAAATAACCATGATGAATTTTCAACCAGTTAGTTATTAAACTCATAAGAAGTTAGCTCTTTTAAATGGATAGCTTATGGAAGATAAAGCAATAATATCACACAGTGTAAATAGATTTTAGATAAATGATGAATCTGTTCAAGTTTTCTACAGGTTACTCTGTTAGTAAATCAGAAAAATATCGATATATAGATTCGCCTATAGCGGTATGGATTACTTGACTTATCGAATCCTCATAAGGAAGCAAATGGATTTCTAAGTTTCCAACTTGTTCTTGTTGAAGGTTTTCACCAAGAAAAGACATTAATTATAAGGAAGACAATGCTCTATATCTATGAGGATGGAAGAATTTTGAGAAGTATAGTGACACTGCTCAAGTGTTTCAGGATTAAGCGTCTAGGATTTGCAGTGTTAATTTACCTGTGCTATGAAATTTACATAAAAATAATTAAGTATTTGATCAGTTTACTATTATCATTTTCACGCTATGCTGTATCCCAGTCCTAATTCCAAGTGCCTGAAATCGGGAACTACAGCAAGTCCCATGAAGCAATGTAAGAACGCCATAGACTGATGTCGTAAAGATTTATTGACCCTTCAAAAATACACATGGTTACAGTTGTAATTCTGAACATCTGTTCACTTCATTAAAACAAAACCACGAACCAGATGACGAAAGTAAGAACATGAAAACACCACATGAGGACTTACTTGACACCTAAAATAAATCAAAATATTTTGTGACCGGGAGTATCCAAAATCTGATACTGATACACGGTGTGCTACGTACTCACTCCCGAACTGACTACTTGAACGAGAACACAAGATTGAGCGAGGAAGTGTATTGGACTACTGAATAAAATGTACAAATACTCATTCATATATACCATTTTAATCCTTAGGAAATCAACCCATTTCCTAGCCAATGAAATGTACTTGTTCATTAGGTCACTTTTGATTGGCATCGATTGACCTTTCCATTAGGCTACTTCTAATTGGTTCTCTATATCAAAATGAATATCCGAATACACTAAATTTAGGGTGATTTTACTGATACACTTTCGCATCCGGGAGCCTAATCCAAGATCTTCGAATGTAGATATGTATTGCCGAGTAGTTGCATACTGCGGCCGTTCAGTGCTTCCAAGTTTACAACGGTAGCCTAACTAAGATCAGTTCATGATATAAAATATACTATCAATGAATCATTTAAAAAAAAAGTGAGTTTAACGAAAGATACACGATCTCCATCGCCTTAAGTAATTCCATCACTGATGAACTTCAAATGGGAAGCCAAAGAGAGCTATCTTTAAAAATATTAAAAAAATGCAAACATTTAAAAAAAATTCACTACCGTATATATACCATAACATCAAAGCTTTCCTATTCTGTAATGAGAATATGTTTGGTCAGTATTATACGAAATATGCTAGGAAGACAATAAATTATCTAGATCGTCTTTTGTTAATAAGTGATAGTTTTAACTTTAAAGAAGATAATGGTAACATGTGGTGTGTGCTACTTATATTGACATAAATAGTATGTGACGTTAGTCGTGAACAGAATGTCTGACAGAAGAGAGACAAGAGGACCGAACAGTAAAGAATGAAAACAGAATGCAATTTGTATGAAAATGAAAGAACAATGAAGTCTGAGTCGTTTGAGACAATTGATGAACAATTTACAAATTAATAATTTAATATATGGTTCTCAGATTTTATTGGGATGTTCTATAACTGTGTACTCAATTACACTCGATTGTTTCCAATCGTGTTCTGTTCACTACAACCTTCTTTATATTCCATAACTGGAACTTTCTTCTTATTTCATTGACTAGTCTCACTACTTTTGTCATCTTAATACTTTTATTACCTCAAAGTCATATATGTTAACAGAGTTGCCTTATTGTAATTTTGATTTTTGTTAATAATGTTACAGGTCACTGAACAGTCCTGTCATTTTTATCATTTATTCGTAAATGAATTATTAATATTAGAGTGTAATGTATTCGTCCCTTGATCGATTTAGTTCATATAGATCATGTTTTGTATTTTAAGCAAACACTGCAAACTCATTAATAATTCGATTTTACTTCAAATTACATAAACAAAACGACACTTGCATTAAGCAATTAGTCAGTCAGCTACAACGTAAGACAAGGCACATATATGCATCGGTTCAAGTTACCAGACCTCATTAGCACAACAAGATGAACACGATTCACAGGAAGTAGTTGATTCAGTGGTGGTAATATATAGAAGATCGCATATAAGGACATAGTACAGGAAGAATTAGTTCGTAGAAAGAAAGATACAAAGCGATTTTAATCTTTTAGTTTAAAAGAAGACAAAGAGTGTATACACCTACGCCATTGTGATCGATTTTGAGCCACGTCACCCAGTCTCCAACCATTGGATACGATAGTCAGGCGGACCCCAACCAAGTAGTCTGTATCTACCAACATGGCTCAAACTAGAAGTTAGTGACTTCATTGACTGATGCCGCGTTTTGGTTTGGCAGCCCCTAACTTTCTTCCTATCATCCTTAACATCAGTTAGCATTGCGTGTCGTGGTAATCGGTATTCAGGCATACATAACACATGACCAAACCATCTCAGTCGATGAAGATTCATAACCTCACAAACTGATTTACCATCATTCCATAATACCCTGAATCTAACCTCATTATTACTTACCTGGTGATCCCAGCAGGTGCGAGCAATATTTCTAACTGGATCTGTAGTCCAATACTATAAAACAGTTTATAGGTAAAATGAAAGTGTGCAAAATTCTTCAAGTACCCAACAATATATGTATTTTTCTTTTCTTTTCAATAAGAAAATGATTATATAAATATTGAGAGTGTTATTGTTCTTCTATACACCAAACAACTAGAATTATTTATTATATTTGTGATTAAGCAATTAATTATTGATTAATTAATTAATTGATATAATCACTGATAATAGTAAAGTTGATTGGTGTTTTCGAAATTAATTATGTTAAATAATAACAATGATAATAATACTAACGAAAAAGAAACAACAAAAACAACAACAACAATAACAACAACAAACAGAAAATCAACAACAATAATAAAAAATAAATAAAAAAAAAACAAGTTGACGATGAAGATAACATCAACAAAGAATTAACATAAAGATAGATATGATTTGAAAGTTGTGAACAGTAAGTAAATAAGTAAGTAAGTAGTATAAGAATAGTGATGATAATAATAATAAAAGTAAAAAAGACAAAACATGGAATGATAATTAGTTTGAAAGGAAATGTGAGTATGTGAATATATATGTTTAACTAATAGAGTAGAACAAGAATACATTCGGGATAATATGAGTAAAAAATATTGGATTATAAGAATAATCATGATACTTAAGAATGAAAACAATTGGGCATTTGTTGTATATATATATGAGTGTGTGCATGTGTAGATGAATAACAAACATTATTATGCATTGGAACCATCACATACTGTTTACATGGGTTTTTCTTGATGGGAGATGAATGGAAGGATTATAAAATTTGGTCGAATTGATATTGCTACTACTACTAATAATATTATTATTATTACAATATATTATTGTTATTACTACAAACGTAAGTGATATTGTGTACTCTTTGAAATATTAACCGTATACATTTTACCACCTTACACGATAATCATCCTTATCATCCTCATTCTCTGCTCCCATAACAAGTATTAAAAAAAAAGAAGAGAACAACTCGACTGACAAAAAGAATTCCGTGGATAAATAGAATTACGTAATATTGTTAAAGAAAGACAAGCAACAACAAAAAAAGACGATTATATGATCAAAGAGCAAAACAACTATAACAGTGGGAAAATTGAAGCGATAGTAAGTAGGAAACTTTCGTAACATAGAAAAAGAGAATCATGAATAGAAAGAAAGAAAGAGAAGATGAGAATGTGCCGATAATTAAGATTATTTCCAAGAGTAAATAAATCAATAAATAAACATTTATCTATAAATGAAAAATAATTAAATATTTTCATTTATAAATCCTCTAGATTTCTAAAACCAGATGATATCTCTTCATATAATTCATCATAGTCTCGTAGTATTTTATCCTACAATAAAAAAAAATTTGTAAAACAACAAATGTATTTCATCAATAGTATGGAATATAAGTAGTCTGTTTTGTTAATAATGAATATTACAAATTGACACTGGATAGGATGATGTTATATTCGAATGAAGACTAAAAGAATGATAATGCCAAAGATTAATTTATGGATTATATATATATATATATATATATATATATATATATATATATATATATATATACTAATTACCTACTGTTATGCGGTTAACTATTCTTGATCTGTTGTGAGTTTTTTAGTATTCCCCCAAATGCCCTGGTACGGCCGAGAGTGAAAGTCAGCTATCCCTCTTGAAATGACCTTACATGGCCACGTGCATACAACCACTGACAGGGAAGTCCTACTCACTGCCTTCCCGCGTAATTACTGTTGTTTAAGAAATTAAGAGGATGAAAAGCGAATGTTCGGCGCTTTACTCGTGTTAGTGGACACGGAGAGTTCCCTCAAGGGAGTTGAAAAACCCTGATTCCAAACCAGTGGTGCACATAGGCTCCAGTATCCTGAGGGAACAAATGGCGTGTGAACCAATCGTTGTTCACCGGCTACCATGAGATTGCATGTTCTTACGTTACTCCACTGCCTTGTGGATTACACCTTTAGGTCAAAGGTTCGGGGTATGACCCCCTAAGAAAGCCACCTGCTTCGGTTTGGGCACCAGGGCAGTATCCCAGCCCTCACACAAATCGAATGATTTATGTGGCGCATACCTATTTGGTGCCTCCTTGTACCAATGTTTATGTGTTTACATAAATATAATAATAATAATAATAATAATAATAATATCCACTGGCAGCCACGTTCTGGCTTGATCATATTAAATTGTTTATTTTTTCATTTTATAGTGTGATGTGGTCGGGTATGTCTGTATGTAAAATGCATATGCTTGAAATAAAATATTCATATGGTGAAGGCTGGTTACTGTGTTCTAAACTGAATGGGCAAGGCAGGAAGAGAAGCTACTGAATCGAGGACCAATAAAGACTTAGCAGTGACTCAAGATTACTAGGGCTAATTGGTAAATTAAGTTAGGTCAGGGATAGCGTCATAGAGGCAGATGTTTTAGTTGGTAGTTTTGTCACATGATATTAGTAAGCGGACGTAATTTAGAACATATACATATTGCAAAAATAATGAAACTACATAAAAAAGTAAGCTCTAAGATGGAACTCTTCAGAGGCAGACCAAAAAAATATTGCACTGGGAATTGGGGGCAGACGTAAAAACAATGAATAGTATTTGAAAACAACTGGAAAGGATAGGAAAGTGTAGGTCAGAGATCGCTAGTCGGTGGCTTATGCTCCGCGAGGGTGTAAGTATGTACTCTGAAATAACAGCTTCACAAATATATATATATATATATATATATATATATATATATATATATATATATATATATATATATATATATGTATATGTATATACTTCTTTACTCCTTCCCTCTGTACACTAACAAGAGAGAGTAGTCTAATTATATCTAGGTGGTTGATTGACAGAGATCCAGGAAAAAGAATTTTACATTCTAGTTTATTCAATTGTATACCAATTACATCTAGTGATTATTAGTTAACGAGTTTGTCGAACTGAACTGTCAATTGTTGCTATGGCAGGTTTGTGGAGATTTCCGAATCTTCACAGGTAACATCATCTCATTTGATCCTAGTTAGACTACTATTAAAAACCAGAATGCTTGATTAGTTGTCTAGAAGTGAAGCGGTCACCGCATGACCTGAAATTCTTGGTGAGGTTGTGATGAATGGGAACTGCTGAATAGTTCCATAACTAGATGTTATTTATAGATAAAACATTTAGTAATCACATTATTTCGGTTATTCAAAAAAGTGAGATTTCTTTCAACAACAAGAACAACAAAGAAGAAGAAAACTTTCCACTTGAAATTGTTTACCTTTCCATCAGCTGAAGGATCTTTAAATTTCATACTAGAAATTTTATAAATTGTTTGACCCATAGCTTCACGTATCAATGCCCATGTAACACGGCGATCAGATTGAGCAGTTACTTCAACAGCATGTCTAGCTTGATCATAGAAAGCGATAATATTTTTCATCATGCCAACAGTTTTATAAAATGGACAAAATCTATATGAAAAGGAAATGTAGAATAATAAGTGTTTTATTCCTTTCTTTTTTTTATTTTTTTCTATGAGAGAACAGTAAAACTTGTATTGAATAATAATAATGCTACTCTTGGTATTTACAGATTTATGTTGACAGTGAAATGTCGTATGCAAAATATTCCAAGTGTAATGAACGAAGACTTCGGTAGGGTAAAGCAACTTATTATCATTATGCAGTCACACAGCGCATTTGTAAAATATGAAAACAATACGCTGAACAGAGCATTTGCACAAATTCCTTGAATTATCTCTTATAAACTCCACTTGAACTGCTTCGTTTTTTTTCTTACTCTTCTCCTCATTTTTCTCTTCTATTAGTAAGAATCTTACATCCAATTCTTGATGCATACTACTTATATCTGTCTGTATAAGTAGCATATACAGCAAAAGTAGTGTAATAACTAAAGTGAATTTTATGATTTAATGTTATATAATCAAAAACAGTCGGTAGGAATTTCTGATCTTCAATCTTCAGCAGTTTAGTACTTGTCACTAAAGTGTACATATAGAGTGTTGAGGGAGATATATTGTGCAGGATGTCAACCGATATTATTTAGTGTCATGAAATATTACAATTTTATATGTACTAAGCAAAACCTATTCACTTATAATAACGAGTATGTAAAGCTCGATGCACAAATTATTCAGGTCATTAAAAAAAATCGCTAGCTTCGTATTGACATACATCATAAATTAGTAGATTTTTTACCGAGGAAAGTAGTGATGATTTATATAGGATACCAACCAGTCATAGTTAACATAGAGTTTGGTACATATGTATATTTCTCCATGTCAATATACCGAGTTAACTCAACATGATGAAATTAACACGATGAACAGCGAAGGAAACACTATAACACAGAACAATTTAAATGTTTCGTTATCCACCACAGGTAATAGAAGAAATTCATACAATATGAATTGATTGGAGTGAAACATGTAGCCAAATGAATGCCAGCTAAATGGTCTAGAGGTTAAGCGCTTGCCATAAGACTGAAGATCCAAGGATCAATCCCCGGGAATATCGTGAATGAGTATTACTGAACTTTATTTATTTATTTATTTATTTATTTATTTATTTTAACACATAGGTATTGGTACAAGGAGGCACCAAATACATATTTGTGTGAGGGCTGAGATACTACCCGGGTGCCCAAACCGAAACACGTGGTTTTCTTAGGGGGCTACACCCCGAGCCTTCGACCTGAAAGTCTGACCCACAAGGCAGTGGAACATCGTGAAGAGATGCAGTCCCATGGTAGCCGGTGAGCAACGATTGGTTCATACGCCATTTGTTCCTTCAGGATACTGGAACCCATGTGCACCATTGGTTTGGGATCCGGTTAAAGCACCGGACATTCGCTTTTCGTCCTCTCATTTCCGTAAACAACAGTAATGCCACGAGAAGGCAGTGAGTAGGACTTCCCAGGCAGAGGCTATGTACGCGTGGCCATGTGAGAGCATTTCGAGAGGGTGAGTGGACTCTCCCCACTCTCGGCCGTACCAGGGCATACTAGAACGAAAAGGCTGTTTATTGCTTCCTAGCTGGCTAACTACAATTAACGGATGATGTACTCTACGAAAACCCAGCAATCCCCCAGAGAAATCCCGTAATAATTCAAGTATTTATCATATAAAGTGAAATTGAGTCATACAAATAATACGGTAATACACTAGGCTTGTATATTTCGTATAAATTATACATAAAAAAGGAAAGCAGTTACTACTGATTTACCTATCATACGATGAATAACCATTTTGTTGAAGGAAATCATCTTTAATAATACGTGCAACTTCTAGTGTAATTTTATCTGCTTCTGCTAGAGATGCCTGTAAAAATGTGATCAATGAAATGTGTAATTGATAAATAATTTGACAAATAAACGACTGAAAAGAAAAAAAACCCTAGAACATTAAATATTCTTTGTGAATATAGAGCTTGATATCTAAGTATAAGAGGAAGTGAAGTAACTCATCTGTTCTGTACAGGCTAAAGTACTCCATTCGACGTAGATTACAAGTGTGAAGAATAGTGATTTCTATCTGAATACCAAAATCCAGTAGATGAAGCAGAATTTGAACCGATAAGTTACATTAAAAAACAATGCAATCTATACCTTGGATTCACTTCTAATGAATGTATAGATTAAGGTTGACTGTGACTGCCTGATTGCCTTCAACCTGAATCAAAACAGTTCTAGCTTTCCAATACCTCATGCTTTTTAATGACACCATATGTGATGTGATCTTGTAAAGGGAAGTATATATAAAGTAGCCAAATCTTTAACTATAATACTAATTGAGTGATTAATTTTGATTGTGAATGAATATCTATACATTAAAAAATGAAGTGTGGCTACTTCATTACTAAGCCTGAAGGTTACACATACTTCTTTTGTACGACCCATAAATAATATTCCTCCATTTCTGGATTATTGAAAATTTCATTGTACATAAGTAATTTGTATTTAACCAATTTTTGGATAGCTTAGTAGAACTATGTATTGAGAGATCTTATAACAAGAAAAATAAATGATCCCAGTTCTAAAGAGCTTGTCTACAGTGGAGCTAAAAGTTTATTTCTAGCTGACTTTAACAGATCCCATTCATGAAAGCGATTATATAATATGAACTAATAATGTCACCTTATCTTTCACAAAGGAATAAATAGATGAATATCTGAATAATGAATGGAAACTTAACGTATACTAATCATTAACCAAACAGCTGATACCATTCATGTATTTAGTACACGTTTATGTAGTCGAGTTTGACGTAAAACAACACAAATTTTGTATGATACTTAATGGTGGAGTAAGACCTACTTGGTTTAAAGTCAAGCATACTTTCACCGCTAATCTATAAAACTGTATACATCTCGTAGAATAAGTGATAATAATCATTTAACATTTTTCTTTTCACTCGATCCTTGTTAACTTACCTTACCAACTAATTGTACAATTTCAGATAATTCTTCTTCTTCTTGTAAAATTTCTTGCATTTTAGTTCTTAATGAAACAAATTCTGGAAAATTTCGATCAAAATAATCATCCAGTACACGTAAGTATTTTGAATAGGATATAAGCCAATTAACACTAGGAAAGTGTTTACGTTGAGCTAGTTTCTTATCTAATCCCCAAAATACCTATAGAAGAAGAAATAATTAACAAAAATAACATATAGTTAGTGTAAGGAGTTTATGGAGATTGTTGAATTTCATAGATTATATCATAAATTGGTTACAATTAGTAATAAATATACTATTTGTGATATCCCAATGAGTAGAAAATTGTAATTCTGATGTTTCATGACTTAATGTGAGCTACTTCTTTAGAGCAAATAAATAACCGAAATGAAATTAACACAAGTTTAATAAGTACAATCTAGATCATAATAGGTTTGAATATGTCCCTGTCGAGTTATTTTTGGTCCAGGTGAACTTGTGTGACCTACCACTGTATTAATTTGTGTGTCAGAAGGTGGATATGAAAAATGTATGCATCTTTAATATGAATTAGTGAGATTGAAATTGAGTGTGTGTGTAGATTGTGTGGGAAATAAATAGGGTCAAATGTGACTGTTTGGATAAACAGTCCAGGTTGGATGAATATTTAGACCTTCTTTTCTATTGGTTATGTAACTGTTCAAAATCAGGAAGCACTGAAGAGCTGTTTCGTCAGTGTGGGATTTTTCAGAAGAGGATAAGCCTTGAACACATTGTGGATAGAAACCAGTGATTCTATGAATTTATTATAATCATCATCTTGAGAAACTTTTCAAATTTAATTTTAAATCAGCAATATTGTTATGTATTGTAAGTAAACCATGTTCGGAGATTGCAGCTTAAAAAAATTGTCCACAAGCTTGATGACTTCAAAAGAATGTTGAGAAATTTCATATGATAAAACGACTAACATACTGTCTCTTCTCTTTTGCACTGAGACATATAAAAATGAAAGTTTGCTGATTCATTTAGTCGTGTTTGTGTACAACAGTAACAACTAATTGGAAACTACCTAAAACATTCCGTGTACAACAGGTAGATCGGAAATTTGAAACCTGCCTCATCTACATTAGGTTAATACTACTAATCCTCCAATATAAACAAAATATGTGGCTCAAAGGCAAGTGTGCACAAATCCATATACTTAATAAATGAGTAATTAAACTAAAAAAAGTTAAAACGAACTTAATGCTGAAATTAGATGCAGAGATATTAAGTCAAGATAGTAAATCAATTACTGAGGTAGTGAATCCTAATCGACTGAAGTGGTTGGGACATACATTAGGTATACATTATGGTTTCTGTTATAGGATTACGTTAGAGGAAAGTTAAAGATAGCCGATAACAACAAGGTGCAATGTTAACTAGTGAAATCAGTAATTATTAAACGAAGCTGTATATCACCCGGTTAGAATCCGCAAGATTATCATAACCTATAGTTGGAAACATTAGATAATAATATTGGCTCTGATTTGGTTAGAATAAATAATATAGATTCACTTTTTGTCTTAAGATACTCATACTCTTTATTCTGTAGAAGTCATTCATTCTTCTCAAACCATACAACCATTTATGCTTAATTATTCTTACAACTACTGATACTATAACTATTTCTACTATACTGGGATTTGTCTTGTTAATTTCATTTTGTGTTAAAATTGATATTGACAACGTGAATCGATATACACAAATATGAGCCCCCAAATGCCCTGATACGACCGAGAGTGAGGAGAGTCAGCTCTACCTCGCGAAATGCTCACACATGGTCACGTGCATACAGCCACTGACAGGGAAGTCCTACTCACTGGATTACTGTTGTTTACGAAATTAAGAGGATGAAAAGCGAATGTTCGGCGCTTCACTCGTGTTAGTGGACACGGAGTTCACCTAGGGGAGTTGAAAAACCCTGATTCCAAACCAGTGGTGCACATAAGCTCCAGTATCCTGAGGGAACAAATGGCGTGTGAACCAATCGTTGTTCACCGGTTACCATGAGATTGCATGTCCTTACGTTACTCCACTGCCTTGTGGATTACACCTTTAGGTCAAAGGTTCGGGGTATGCCCCCCTAAGAAAACCACCTGCTTCGGTTTTGGCACGCAGGAAGTATCCCAGCCCTTATTTAAATCGGATGATTTCTGTGGCTCATATCTGTTTGGTACCAACCATGCACCAATGTCTATATGTTTAAATAAATTAATAATATATGAGCCAAGTTCTCTACATTGACTGACTAAAATCATCCAATTGATTGATAGGATATTTGCTATTCAGTTTTTTTTAATAAAAAAATGATATCAAACCAACTATTCCTTGTAAGCTATGAAAACAAAACACAAAAAGATTGAACAAAGGTTGTTCATGAAAACAAAGTATCAATCATACTATCAAAATGACTGTGTTTACTATAATAATGCATCCAATATACTATTATTACCATTATTATTATTATTATTATTATTATTATTATTATTATTATTATTATTATTATTATTATTATAAGTAAACAGTAATAAAATAAATCGATTATATCCATAGTAAAGTTTAAAGGTCAATTACAATGTACAGAGTATACACAGTTAATAAATATAATTCAAATTAGTGTAATTGTGTAAATTACATTTTATTGAATGTGATATTTATTATCATGCATTGAATAGTGAACGTGGTTAACACTATTTTTTGTCTCTTCAGAATAGGTGTATTAGTTGTTAATTATTATTTTATTTTTTATTTTAACACATATGTATTGGTACAAGGAGACACCAAATATATATGCGCCACACAAATCTCATTTGATTTGTGTAAGGGCTGGGATACTGCCCGGGTGCTCAAACCGAAGCAGGTGGTTTTCTTAGGGGGCTACACCTCGAGCCTTCGACCTGAACGTCTGACCCACAAGGCAGTGGAGCATCGTAAGGAGATGCAATCCCATGGTAGCCGGTGACCAACCATTGGTTCATACGCTATTTGTTCCTTCAGGATACTAGAGCCCATGTGCACCATTGGTTTGGGGTCCGGTTAAAGCGCCGGACATTCGCTTTTCGTCCTCTCATTTTCGTAAACAACAGTAATGCCACGAGAAGGCAGTGAGTAGAACTTCCCTGGCAGAGGCTGTATACGCGTGGCCATGTGAGAGCATTTCGAGGGGGAGAGCGGACTCTCAACACTCTCAGCCGTACCAGAGCATTTGTTAATTAAGTATTTAAAGTAAATAGATGTGACAATTTCTAATTGATAATTCATTTATTATTAATTTAGTTATTTATTATCATCAGAATAGGGGTTTATAGAGATTGTAGTAATTTTTAATAGATGAATTCATGAGTCGATTAAACCTAGACTATCATTGAACACCTGGAAGCATTAGACGGCCATTTCCTCCTAGTATGAGACTCCTCAACAGTACACATCCACGATCCAGCACTCGAGATCGAAGGTCCTAGGTTCGAGTCTCGTATGTGGGGTCGTGGATGAGCATTGTTGAGAAGTCCTACATTAGGACGAATTGGCCGTGTAATGCTTCCAGGTTTTCAATGATAGTCTAGCTTAGATCGACTCATAAATTCAACCATTAATATAATTTATAACAATAGTAAAACGAATAATGAAGTGAATAGATAAAGTAAACCAACCAGTCAAAGTAAAGAATAAACGTATCTGTTCCCTGTGACCAATTTCCAGTCATATTACACTTAAGGTCTTCAGATACATAGATGATGACTAACTAACGAGCACATAAACACGAACTATTTACATTTTGAAACAGTTTGGACAAACAACTAATGAAGTAACAGAATAATATTTTCTTGGCTTGGCTATCATTAGCTGTCTTACAACCTATTCTTATTCTGGTTAACCATACACGTAGAAGTATGTGTAACATGTGCACTAAACACCTTATCTGACCAATGTTTACAACATCAACCGGTTCACCATATACACATTAAAGTCCATCTCTAACATTACATAATCTAAAGCTCCATTTTATGTTAGCGGCACTTCAAAGATATTTATGACCAACCATTAGAAATCTACACAAACCTGAAGCCTTCATCATCCATGATTCACAACCGTAAATTAGCACAAACCAAAATGTCGTAATGTACAATTGCTTTTTACCTTGTACACAGACATTTCACCTATGAAATAATTTGGGTGCTACGACAAAAATCAATCAAATTAGTTGCATCTAGCCTATGAATGTATCAAACATCGATTCATCAGAGCTCATGAAATTTCTTAGATAATTGTTCATTATGTAATATGGTTATTAATGGCTACTTCGTCTATAGCCATATTCAGCACGTGATGTAAGCACTCTCCACAAAGATCCCATTCAAACAAGTAATTTTTCACAAAAAACAAAACATACAGATATATTTACAAACCTGTACAATACTCAATGTGGCTGATGTGACAGGATCAGCAAAATCACCACCAGGTGGAGATACAGCACCGACAATACCAACTGATCCATAACGTAAATCTGGACCACCAAGACAATGTACACGACCAGCACGTTCATAAAAGCTAAATATCAAATAAATAAATTTTCTTTTAAATATGATAATTTTAATAGATCAGAATTGCCTAGTCGACCAATGTTATTTTACACACAAAGGCAACTAACTTCAAAGATTTCAGCTGCAACGTTGTTAGTAGTTAATTTGTGATTTTGTATAATGAAGCATCGATCGAAATGAACCTCTAGTCAGGCGGAATACCTTATTTAATAACGCAAACAAACACTGAACCAATATATGGGAATACACAATACCTAAATTCAGATGGAGTTCATTTGAAGTATCTATAATAAGCTGTGTGATAATTCGATAAAATTTATAATAAAATAACTAAGTACCTAGATTTATTTCTTTTTAATCTTTACAGTTCACAGTAAAACATAAAACGATCGGATTATTCAGATCAAAGTAAGTTGAAAGAGATTTGAAACTGAGACTAGGTAGCTGGAATTCGAATGCTTTAATCAATAAGTCATAGATATTATGCAAAGAAGAATTTCAAGTACAAATAATGGAATAACATAGTTTTAATTTAACATTCAATTAAAATGTAACGATACAAAAGAAGAAAACAACATTTTAACAGAATACATCAGTTATATATCATCAATAAGGAAAGTTCTCTACCAGTTCAGATGTCATAGATATTATTTCCATACATCATACATAAGATGCACGAATTCCAATATATTCATTTCTTGTTTTTTTTAAAGAATAGACAAAGAGAAAATATTTTAAGTCTAATAATAGCGCATGATTATATACAGTTAGCATACTGTTAGATTAACTGAGAACTTAGCTAAGACCTGAAAACCGGATGAAACTCCATCTGAGTGGTCTTGATCACTGATCGACCCAGTCTATAAGTAAAGACATAAGTCTTCTCATGACAATTACAGAAGAATCATTTTGACTAACAGTGTCTAAAATATTAATCTTAATAATACTTCAACGTCTCATTAGAGTTTGTGAGGAATCAATCTGAGAAAGCAAGGCTGTTTTCAGACCTAGATAGGGATATACAAACCAAATATTCACCATTCGGATTCAAAAAGCCTTTTTCGTTTTCCCTAACTTGTGTCACTTATGGGGTAGATGAGATATATGTCTGTCAAACGAAGGACAAGTTTTACAATTCAGCAGTTCGTACCTTTCTACTTTATGAATATGAAAAATAGGCATTAAGAATAGAGGAAGTTTATACGTTACTCGTATTCGATCATAAGTGTCCTCGAAGCATCGCTAATGTACTTTGGGTCCACCGAGTAAGCAATACATGGGATATGTGTTATGTTGTCGAGATGCCACCTACCTCGACGAGCGATATTATCTGGTATAGGAGTAGGCTGAAAGGAAGCTACGGGCGGCCAAAATAATATATGGTGCCAAATCATGTAGTTACTGAGAACTGGACTGGGCCATGTTAATAGGTACAAACTCCTTGATTGAGGTTAGTCTGATTGTTGTAACCAGTGGTTTGAGACTTTGAATGACATGGCTCAAAATAGTTTACAATAGCGCAGGCATATTCACTATTTGTCTCCCCATCAAATATTAAGCTTTCAGATTGCTCATAAATTTTATTATTTTAATGATTTATACTTTTTTCGTATTGTATTTTTGGATGCCTAATCTTTTCAATTAACCTTGGTACTATTACTACCTCTACTATTCTAGGATTCGGCCTGACAATTTCACCTCGCTGTGCTAATGGAGTATGGCAACTTGAACCGATGTACATGCACTCCAGACTCTACGTCGCGACTGACGGACTGACTGAAAGCATTGATAATCATTCAATTCAGACAAAATCTAACACAAGAAGGATAATTATAATACTCAGATTATTTATATACAAACATAACATGAATTATAAAAAATTCTAGAAAAACGAAATCATCATAAGTAAAGACTTGGATAAACAATCAAGGAATGAAAAGAGAGAAAAATAATTTCACAAACCTTGCAAGACGTGCACCTAAATAAGCTGGATAACCGGAATCTGCAGGCATTTCAGCTAATCGACCAGAGATTTCACGTAGTGCTTCAGCCCAACGACTAGTTGAATCAGCCATCATACTAACATTATAACCCATATCACGAAAATATTCTGACAATGTAATCCCTGTATAAATTGATGCTTCACGAGCAGCTACAGGCATATTAGATGTATTTGCTACAAGAGCTGTACGTTGCATAATTGATTCTTGTTTTCCATTAACTTCAACTGTTAACTACATAAAATTGATACACATAGACAAGGAATTACTTGTAAGGACAAATACAAAATTGTACGTGTCAGGAATCGAAAGTAGAAATCTTACGGGCAGAAGAGGAAAATGAAGAGAAAAGAAAACAGAAAGCAATCGAAATAACAACAGGAATTAAAGAATGATTGATTTTGTAATGGATAACTCAAAGAAGATTGGTAAATAGTATATTTAATGTATTGTTTTCATATTGTACAAATACACTGTGAACTTTTGTGTAATACAATAAATTGGTTCACTACGCAAAACTTTGGTCATTACATTACAATTAATAAAGTGTTGACAGACGTAATTCCATACAAACACAAGCACACACTCATCTTTATACCAAGTCTAATGGTTTACTAATAAGAGAATGTGGCATTTAGGAAATTAAGAAAGTAGGATTGGCGATGTAAAAGACTAAAAATCAATTGAGTAACATGACTTTTATTAGAAAAGTTTATGATTGTGTATTATGCTACGGATTTAATACTTGGTATGAGGACAAACATTACTAATCGGTTGACAAATAGGAAGTTTGAAGGAGACAAGCTAGAAAATACAGCTTAATAGTTTGAGATCTTTAATCATCAACCTATCAATATATGCAATGATTTAATTATTTCTAATATGATGAAAACAATAATGAGATAACATCTAATTAGCTGAATTTAAGTTTAAACATTCGTATTTCAAGAAAGAGATTAGTCTTTTATATATTATTATAGGAACTAAATGTTTAGCCATTTTTATTAGTGCATTCTCTATGTCAAACCACCTACTTGCTGTTACTTTATGTTAACACCGTCCCTAGCAACTTTAACTAATTTGAATAATATCTAACATCAACAGTATATCACTGTGTCACATGACACATGCATTTTGGTAGACCTGATTGACATATTTTGGTAATTAATGCTTTGTTGTTCCGTGCTCTCTGTTTTCGTTTTAATTTCTCTAGTTGTAGATAATTATCGTTAATTCGATCTGGCACAGGAAATGATCTCCATTACATCAACAGGCTGTCCATTTAAGAAAAAATTAAAAGTTTCCGGCTGATACATTGGATCGCAGTAATACATGTACTACCTAAACAATTACTGAACTAGTATACTTAAAACTTACTTCTATCAAATGTTTGTTCTCTACATCTAATGTTACTATTTATATCAAATTAATCATGCCTGTAAACTGGCGTGAATTCTGTAATTATTATTTTCAGAATATATAAATTATTATAAACGATTAAACAAGTGAAGTTCCACTCCTATTTTTTCTATACCAAAAAAAGAGTATCGACAGAAAGATAGTATGTATTCGACAGTTTCTAACATAGTAATCATATCTTTATTGGTTATAATGAGATCGATTCACGTATAGTGAAAGCCAGAGCGGCTTATGCCAATCTGGGCCATCTTTGGCGCCTTCGTGATGTCAGTCTTGCTGTAAAAGTTAGGATCTACAACGCGTCGGTGGGAGAAGTTTTGCTCTATGCTTATGAAACCTGGCCTCTCAGAGTTGAGGATGTTAGACAACTCTCTGTGTTCGATCATCGTTGTCTCCGAAGGATTGCTGACATCCAGTGGTGACACCATGTCAGTAATGCAGAGGTCCGACATCGTATGTTCGGGTACAAAGACGACAATCCAATTGGTGTCACCATCTTGAAACACTGACTTCGGTGGCTTAGAGATGTTCTACGAATGTCATCCCAGAGAATTCCTCGTCGTGCATTATTTGCCAACGCTGGGACTGGTTGGAAAAAGCGGAGAGGTGGTCAGTGTATGAGATGGTATCGTGGTATGAAAGAAAGATGAAAAGGGCTGGTTTGTGTTGGTCCTTCTCGACTCCCTGGTTGGGGTCCGAGAGATGGTGTAACAGTGGCTAGAGACGTTATCAGATATGGCTCAGAATAGAAGCCAGTGGCGATCCTGCTGTAACCTTCTTTTACTTACTTCATAAAAAGTGGTTGTATCTTCCTTAACTGAAAGATTTCTTCTGATTGTACCTTTCCGTTTCCTCCAATATTGTTCTCTCTTCTTTTTTTATAATTCCCTACGTTCATTACTTTTTTTTTCTCCTTCTCTTTAAATTCTCATTGTTTTGTGTGGCGCATATATATTTGGTGCCCTCTTGTACCAATATTTATGTGTTCAAATAAACAAAATAAATAAATAAGTTATTTGGTTCTTGAGATTACAAACTAACTTAAGATCTCAACAACAACAAAAAATTTTGTTCAATAAAATGTTAAGTTTTCCAGTTAAATATAAACACACAACTAATCTTATATAAAAAATAAATGTAAGATTAACATGAGAGGTTTTTTATATATGTATATTGCATTACTCTTTATATTTTCAAGTTGTCATTTGACAAAACAATATTGTACTCAAGTTAAATCTAAAGAGAAGAACGCATTACAACTATTTAAAAAGTCAATATGTATATATACCCCCTGTATCAATTTCCTTCTAAGTCAACAAGTAATGAAAAACCAATGGAAATGTACACAAATGACTAGAATGATTATATATTAATTAATAATATCAAGAAATCTGGAGAAAAAAGAAAGAAATCAATAGTGCATAATGTAATGGATAACAAAAGTTAAATTCACACTTTCAATGATAACAACTATGTAACAATACACTGTTCAGTTTGAACTTCAATGAGATTTGTGAACATGTGTACTTACTTAATATAACAAGTTATTTAAGGAACAGTTTTATTTTCTTGTCATGTAAACGTTATTAATAACAAGTTTAGACTAGTTGGATAATAATAATAAGAACAGTAATAATAATGGATTGTAAATGTCATCTAGCGAAACAACTGACCATAGTAATGGAAAATAAAGTCATTCATAAATTAGAGAGTTATGATCAACACAGCACCCGAGGGAGGGATATATACCGGTGCAAGTTCCAACAACTCATATAAATATAGAGAGAAGGAATCGGTGAAATGAGAAGCAAAGAAGAATAAATAATGACGGAAATCTAAACATGATAGCTATATTTGGAGAAGGAACCAGTGAAACTGAAGAGTAAAAAGTTAAGAATAATATTAAATACAGACTATGGAAGATCATAACGAATGTGAATACAATTGTGCTTTATCAATTAACGCTTAAAACTGCAGATTGCAATCATTAGGGTAAGTCCTAACAAGGAGGTTTGGACCTCTCAACATGGCTCACACTAACATTCAAGGAATTAATTCCGTAGTTCCTCCCAACCAAGGTTGGTTGGGAGGAGGCTGATCAGAAATGATCTAAGATATTTACTTCGAACACTGGATGGAGTGATTGAAAAAATTCATTGTTCAACTGGCAACTAACACATAATAATAATGATAATAAATTCATTGAAGTCATGAGTCGATGTCAGTTAGACCATTATCAAACACTTAGAAGGACTGAACGATTGTCTTGTCCTAGTATGAGACTCCTCAGCAGTGCGCAACCAAGACCCCGGACGTAAAAATCGCACTCAGGAATTTCGGTCTCCAGCGCGATCGCTCAATATCTAGACCATCTAGCTAGCATTCAACGGCGTGAATGTCTGACTGCAATCAATCCATGATATAGCGTCACCATATTCTATTGACTGTTTCACGTCCAACACGGTTGAACTCCATCGTTCATAGCTTCTTATTGGAACTCCAAGAATTATCCCTCCAAGTCAGTCACTAGTAAGCACATGATAATTATCGGTATAGGGTTGTGGAGATTGTTGAATTCTTACTGAGATCATGAACCGATTAATGTTAGACCACCATTTAAAGTCTGGAAACAGTGGATGGGCGTTTCATCATAGTATGAGAATCCTAAGAAGTGCGCATCTACGACCTCGCACACTTTCAGGTTTTCAATGATGACCTAACACTGATGGGTTCATGATCTTAATAAAAGCTCAACAATCTCCATAACCTTACACTGATAATAATAATAATAATAATAATAATAATAATAATTCACACTAGGTTACACTACCGACATCAATAACAATAAAATATAACAATCAATCACCTCTGGGAAATCACGCAAAACTTCTGACATTTCATTGCCACGTTCACCACAACCAACATAAACAATAATATCCGAATTAGAGTATTTTGATAATGATTGAGAAATAACAGTTTTACCACAACCAAATGCTCCAGGAATTGCAGTAGTTCCTCCTTGAACACATCTAAAATTTGAAAAAAGAATCTCTCCATTATGTGTTGAATGAATTATCTACTAAACTAAACCAAACTGTTTTTCTGAAAAATACTAGAAATAATACAAATTTAGAAATTCCTACTTTATCGACGTTTTACAATTCGAAGTATGAGGTTGGTAAGTTTGGCCCTGTCTATAAGTGTAGAAGTTCGATATAAATGTATTATACATTGAATCCATAAACAATGGGTCCTTTGGAATTTATCTCAAATATTATTCGGTTTGTCCTACTGAGTTAGTAATACGACAGTATGCGCAATTCCTATAAATAAAACATTTCAAAAACCAGCATATAACCGATTAACAGATTCAAACATAGGATCTCGAGTTGTATTATTTGAAACCAGCAGCAGTGCAATCAATGCAATCATTCATTAGTATCTTTCAACTTTATTTCTTGACATTTTTGTTTTAACGAAACGAATACTGTAGAAGTTAGAAGTGGTTCTGTGAATTATTATTGGTCATACTTTCGCTGTATAATTACTGATTGACTCGACTATTATGTACATAAATTCCGTTTATCATAGGCTTTCAGTTCACACAATAACTAATGTACACGACTTACTATTCCTAATTTGTTCTCATTCTATTACTTACAATCTCCCCTATTCGCAGTCATTTTCGGCTTGTTCATCCATAATTGTGATTTTTTGTTTTATGTTATGATGCAGTTCAATATGTCTGTACATAAACCACGTCTGCTTGAAGTACAAATATAGTGGAATCTGGTTGCTTACTTTTGGAATCAAGTCAGTGCATAGAGAGGAACTTGCGAATAATGGACCAGTAGGAACCTAACTGTTTCGGCTTAAGGTCCATAATACTGATTGAGTGTGCAATTGGTCAATTTGAGGACACTAGTCTATCAAGGGAATAGTAGACGCGAATATACCAAATCAGAATAAGGATTCAAACTGGTGACTTGTACGTGACATTGGTCAGCGGTCTTAATACATAACAATTTTGCTAGTGTTACGTATGACAACTACGACTGATGAGCAATCTGTGCCATATAGTAACATTATGACTGATTAAGTGAAAAGGACTGAGGATGGGAGTAGAGATTATTAAAAGTACAATCCAATAGTAAAAAGTAGTCACCTAAATGCATGAAATATATTTTTACTCATTCAATATCGTCTGACTTTGACATGAAACGGAAGAAATTAGTTTTATCAAAAAATTTAACAAAGCACAACCGTATAATCAGATTAAAAAGTTCCAAATACTTTAGAATAGTGAGCTCGGGTCACAGGTCTAGCAAAAGATTAACTGAACTGCTTAAGAAATCATGTAAATCACTCGTTTAGTTAGTTAAGACCTAGTAATTTTCAGCGTTTATCAGTAAAGTGTATTTTTTTTTACAAATAATTCGCTTATTGACCAAGCTTAGCATTTTGTAAGTAAACGTACGATAAGAAATTATAATATGTACCTCCTGAATATTATGTTACATCTAGAGAATTATGTATCAACAAATAAATTGGTCATCTGACTCGGATGAGTGATTATAGTTGGAATTTAGTCAGATGTAATAACACCAATAACCAAATACATATTTAAACATTAGACTAAGAAGCACATAGATTTATTCCTCAGTTTACGTATAATACTGACTGCTTATGAAGATGATAACAGATTAAATGCAATGCTCTTCAACGGGAGCAAAGTGGTTGCCTTGATAAACCACAGAGTAATAAACCCTAAATCATTTTTCACTGAATTTAGTTTGGTAAAAGGATCAGCCACTATACCACTCATGTATACGAAGATAATAAGCAGTTGTATTTATAATTTACAGTCATGTATAGCTTACTTAATCATCCATATTAAAGTATATAAGTATTACTTTGATAAGGTACCCTATAATATGTTTTGTCGTTAGATGAACCAAGCCAGATGACGGTATTAAGTTTGGACTTTATTCGGAAAACATGTAACTTTAGCCATCGTTAAAGCAGCCAACTACCGGTTATACAGTCGTAAATTCAAATTGAATTGTGCTGATTTTATTTTATCAGTCAAGTCGTATCAACAATTCTAAATTCAAAAAATATTAACGTTTATACTTACGGAAATAAAGCGTCCAAAATTCGTTGGCCAGTTAAAAGTGGATGATTACCAGGTAGTTTTTCAGCTACTGGACGAGGTTGACGTACTGGCCATACTTGTAACATAGTATGCTGGCTGATTTGTCCATCGAATTCTATTTCCAATATTTTATCCTGTGTATGTATGAAAAGATAAAATACATGAAATTAATATCGGACTACAAGTAGTCATAAAAAATAAATGAACACTGAATAATTGAAGGTAATACACAGTAAGTTTCGCCTTAAATCTAAGTTTCGAGCTTGTGAAAAAGGGGCACGAGGGTAATACATCGTTTATGTACGTGACGACTGTCATGTTATTCAGCTGAACGATTCCATAGCAACGACCAGCAACCAGATCCGCACAACCTTGTAATTATTCTGTAGCTGACTCTTTAACGGTCGAGAAATCTAATAATATATGGTTCTAATACTGATGATCATACAATAAGGAATGTGTAACTGTTTAGAGAGAAATCAGGCGTGACTTATATTAAGATTGCAATTACAAAGAGGAAATATTAAGTGAAGTGTAGAAACCACTGGAAACAATTTCCTTACAAAAACGCGGTTTCAGGCAACTAGTACAAGATCACTGATTCTCTGAGCTCAGAGAACAAAACTCCATCAAAATCATCCATCTGAGCTACAGATCTTCTCCACCATCTCAGGACTTTTGACCAAAAACTTGAACTCTAATTGACCAGATTCGAAGTAAGTAACTTTGATGAATTTCATTCTCTGACATCCCCGTAGGTCAAAGTGACTCGTTCGTTTTTAACAAAACGTAGGTTGACCAAGCAAAAGTAATTGATATTCACAAATTTTTACAACTTACCGATAATGTGTAATGTCCAGTCGGAGCAATCCATCTCACTGTACCTTGGGCTTTAGGTGAAAGCATGATTCGATGTTGAACTAAAGTATTTTCAGGCACTATACCATAAATATCTCCACCAGTTATATGCATTCCAGGCTTTAAACCTGGCGTCGGAATAAATTCCCATTCCACTTTACGATCTAATGCAGGAACATTTACACCCCTAGGAATATATATCGAACTAGTTAGATCACAAATGCCTTTTAAAGGGCGTTGAATACCTAAAACAGGTGAAATCGATAAAGTCAACTATCTTTTTGAAAGAAACGACAGTAAATAACTAAAGCTTGAAAGACATGTCAGAAATGTCATGAAAAAAGACTTTTGTATGCATATATGAGTGCTATTTTGTGAATATTAAATAAAATTTACAAATATCTTACGATAAAGATGTATAATATTACACCTATCTTGACGACCGGTTTAACACTAACCTTAACATGAGTAACACGGAAATAAACAAAGTGATTTACAAATTAATAACACTAGTATGAGATATCTTGAGTAATATGGTTACATTGCATTAGAAATGTATACAACAGCTGAGGTTAAATTATAAATAAACACACCTCCTGATATGTATCTCAAAATATCGTCTTAGCATTATGTAGGTAATACGACAAAATGATAAAATTTGGAAGGAAATTATTAATAAATGAGCAATAGTTTATGAAATTCTGAATAATACCAATCAATAAGTTGTCTACACGTAGGCTATATGTTATTTTGGGCATGTGATAAATACAGTGTCAAAAAGTCATCCTTTCTATAAGTTGTTCTTGAAACAACATGGTGCTCACAGAAATAAAATTTGGAAGACAAACAATAGTAACCATTAGTTGTATTACGCAAACAACCATGAGCAAGTTAATAATTCATCATTAAAGAAAACAAATTTTAAAATTAATAAAGATAAACATACCGTCGAAAATATTGTTGACAATCCCAGGTCCAAGTTCAACTGATAAAGGTTTACCAGTTCTAAGGACAGGATCACCTACAGTTACACCAGCTATAAGACGATAAATTGTTAAGTGAAAAAGGACAGCAAATAGTCAGTCAGCTGCAACGTAGGACCAGGCACGTATATGCATCGGTCCAAGTTGCCATACCGCATTAGCACAACAAGATGAACACCAGATTCATAGAAGTAGTTAATTCAGTGGTGGAAATATATAGAAGAAAGAGTGTGTATAAGGATATAGTACAAGAAGATAGAATGACTTCCTAGAAAGAAAGATTTGAAGTGATTTTAATCTCTTAGTTTAAAGGAAGACAGAGAGTATACACACCGACGCCATTGTGATCGATTCTGAGCCATGTCACCAAGAGTCTCCAACCATTGGTTACGATAGTCACGCGGACCCCAACCAGGTAGTCTGCATCTACCAACATGGCTCAGACCAGAAGTTAGTGACTTCAAGCACTGATGCCACAGCAAATAGATTGTTTAACACAATTTACTGACAGTAATAACCAAAAAATCGCCGCAATGTGTAGTTGGAATCCGAAATATGTTTTATCAAATATTGCATTCTAAAAAAGTATAACGAATGAAGTAAAATCTTTTTCAATAAGCACAAATGAACAAAAGGTTAAACTTTCTTTATCTAGTGATTCAACAAGATGGATTTCATCAAACAACTTGAAATTATTAATCAAGAACTTAAAAACTATCCTGTTTGTTTACTTAGTGTTCAAGCAAGAAATAAAACAGATGTTTGATACTCCTTGACTTTTCGTCTTTTAAAATGACATCAACTCATTAAACCTAGTTGGTTTTTATGAAATGATTTATGACAAAACATTTCTTTGGAGTGCGCAATTTAAGCTTTGCACAATGTGCGAATGATTGGGTATCATCACAGCATACCCTTATTTAAAAAGTTTGCTAAGCGAAAAGAAGCCGTAATATGAAATTTTGATTTAAAAGGATACATGTTTCTTCATACACCTGAATAGTGGCCAGATCACCTTCCAAACGAATAATTTCTCCAACCAATTCATCATGTCCAACACGAACTAACTCGTACATAGCAGAACCAGCCATGGATGATGCGGTGACAACTGTGAAAAAAAATACACATGATGATTATAAAGGTATCGAACGATAAACAAACATGTTTCGTTTATTTATTTATTCAAACATATAAACATTGGTACAAGAAGGCACCAAATAGATATGAGACACATAAATCATTCGATTTGTGTGAGGGTTGAGATACTGCCCGCACACCCAAACGGAAGCAGGTGGTTTTCTTAGGGGGCCACACCTGAAGCTTTTGACCTAAAGGTCTGATCCACAAGGCAGTGGAGCAGCGTCAGGAGATGCAGTCCCATGGTAGCCGGTGACCAGACAAACGTGACAAAAACATCGTAAAATATAGTTAACAAAGCTTTGACGCTTTGCCTGGTGTGCTATGCAGTTAGAGACTTTGAAATTAATGAACGGAAAGTTTTAAAATCAGTCAAAGTTGAATATACAAATGCATGTGTAATCTATCTTTATATACTGAAGACATTATTTACTATATTTAGTTATTGTTTATTTACCTTTATGCTTATTTTTGCCTACTTAAATCAATTTCTATTATAATGACTTATTTCTATGTTTTAGAAGTGTTCAAAAATAAAGAGATATGTTTTCGTGTAATATTTTACTGTCAATGTCTGTTTAGTTGTATTCCCGTGTTGAAAGAAGCATGTTGAGACAAGAGCTTGTGATGACTACACAGAAGCAACCAACTATTACTTTAAAACTTGTAAGCAACAGTATGATCATATAATTACGTTTCTGAAAATATTCAGAGATAGCCTCCGCATAGACTCAGTGAAGAGCCCAAACTTATGTTTACCAAAATCATTCAAATAACTAGTTTGATAAATACGACTAGTACTCAAAGGTATGAAAGTCGAACGGACGAAATCAAGATTATGTGAAACAAATTTTGATTACAATAAGTATTTTAGCGAAAAATTGAATTCTATACTTATCTAAGCTTTATAACTAGTGCTACTTGGTGACTAAGAATGGTTAAATTTTGAGGCACATCCATTGACGAAGATATCTCTTAATTACCTAGAGGTCATTAATTGCAAGTCCATGAGCTGTTAGATTTCTATCAGCTACAGAGACTACAGTTTATAGAGAAATGCAGTGGAAACCGAAAAAAATAAGTGGTGTTAACGAATTATGAAAACTAGTATACGTACCAGGACCTGACACAGCGTAAACATATCCGTAATTACTTTCACGACTGCCATTTTCTAACCTGAGCTCCCGCAAAGACTGTTCCATATCACCTGGAAATAAAATTGTTAACATACAGAACACAACAATATTCAGTAAATAAAGATTTTAAAAGAAACATCTAAGGGTGGATTAATGAATAAGAACTAAACACAGTGATTTGTGGCAAGAAATGATGCATATTTCTGTAATGTAAATAATGAAGCTACAATTAAATACAATGGGACAAAAATTACTAATTAGAGCAAAACCATACAGTTAAGGTAAACTCCTGTCGTTAGCATGATAATTCGGCAAGTCAACTACGGAACCACCAAAACAATGTATCACATTATATACGTAAATTGAAATGTAACCAGGGTATCGCACATGACCACATGGCTGTTAATAATTTAATGAATGGAAAATGTATGGGGTAAATAGAGTACCGAAAGTATGGCTAAGCAGTTTGGATTAAACATAAGACATTCGGTCTGAACAAGTATAAACACAAGAAATGGTTAGAGTTGGAAAACAGATATTGAATTTAAAATGAAACATTACAAAAATTATGAATATACGACACTACAATCTCGACTTAATAAAAGTCTGTCCACTAATACCTTAAGATGGGCGAACAAAGAATGTCTGAGTTGCATGAAATGTACCTAAATAATATCGATTCATGAGTATCAATATTATAAATACACATGACCATTTACTACAACGCTACATATACTGAAAAGAACAATCCACATATTGATTCTGAAAATATACTTCATTTTGTCCGGATACTAGTGCTAGTGAACACAGCAACCTGAATAGGCATTTCAAGATATATATGTGCATTACATAAGCAGGACAGGATGAATTTAGTAAAAAGCTCTTGAGACCGAGCGCCATTAACATTATGTTCAAATAGTCGAAAATCGATGACTACAAAAACTGGAACTTTAGTTTTAATTCGTTAAAAATTAACCAAATCCCTTCTGTATTGAGTACTTAATACAAAACCTTTTAGATTACTTAGTTTCGACTATAGTTTCGTTTATAGGCGAAAAATATTCATTCATCGTTAGATCTGAGTAAAACGAAACGTTAGCACGGTAAAACACTACTAAAAAACTGACCTATATATGACTTTTGGTTAAGTGTCCGTTTGCCCTGACGATACTAGCAACTTACATATACCCCAGGCTCACTTTAAAATGACTCACAAAACTACTTTTGATAGTCGCGGACTGTGTCGACCAGTAAAATTTACCATACATAAAGTCCAATATGTCCAAGTCCTTAAAAATAAATTTTCTTGAGATAAGAGATATACGAATACATATGTAGTAACAAAAAATATCCAAATCTGGATTATTGATTACAATAAACCGTTTAATCTTAGCTTTTTACTGTAAAATGTATACAAATGACGAAATATTAAAAGTTACCACATTGTACGGCAGTAGAGATTATAGTTGCTGTGATCAGATTTGAAAAATGTCCGGTCGTTTGCTCAATCGCTGTCTTTGCGGTATAAAACCTAGGAACAGCTTTCCTATTTACAATGTTAGCCGTAAGGATCACGATCATGACTGTTTATATCCGTCACAGACTTCTTACTGGACCGTTATTGACAAGTTTCAGGTCATTTATTGATTCGGCTTCATTTTTCTTAGACGAAGACTGGGACTATACGCTTCTGAGTATTCTGGCTTAACACTAAAATCTGGAAAAATCATTAGTTATTTAAAATACTGGTTTTAGTTTTGATGTTCGATAATATCTGGGTCTGTCAAGCAACATGAATGTATGGCTTTGTGATGGGGCTGAATGTGTCTTTAGAGTCTTTAGAAACTCTTTTCGAGACTCGAGATATTCTTAAGGAAAGGTCAGTGAGACAGCAAGACAGCAAGAATGGTAAAAGGAAATGGTCTGTATATTGCGGATGACTGTTGTATTCGTTATATTCATACTCGATGAACGAGAACAAATGAATTATGAAGGGAATAGAATACAAATGTTACCGAATGGATTTCAGTAACTGGATTCATTAGCATGTGCAGAGGTAATAAACGATCAAAATACAACATGATGAATGTAGACCACTGGACTCATATAATCGTATGTGGTGAACAAACAATACATTTAATGTACAGATAAATACTTTGTGTTTTGTTTAATCCTACCATGATAATACGATGCAATGTCATACTGCATACTTCGGATCTGAGTTCTTGATTTTTTCTTTTCGAAGTTCTAGGCTTATTAGGATTAGTACTGCTTCTTTATAGTTTCAAATTCATATTGTGATTTTGTACTACCGTCAAAATTATACCTCTTCGCAATTATATTAGGTTTATATTGATAGCAGTTGTGTTGTAACGAAATAAATACAGGGCTGCATTAGATAAGTTCAATATGCACTGTATTGATATGAATACAATATCCGTAGTGTCAATTAGCCATGAAATCTCTAGTGCTTATAGATCGAAACAATAATGAGATATGACTGACAAATAGATAGTTGAAACGTCGACCAAATAAAGAAATACTGGAAAGGCTCACGAATAAGTCATTCGAATAAACCACAAAATTGAGCACAAGTTAACCAGTTGTTTGGAAGTGATGTGTTAGACAGTCACTTACTCAGTTAGATATTGTATTCCAAAATGAATATACAAGTTTGTCCACTTAACATGTCTGTAAAAAGTAGCATAATGATTCGGAGGGGTAAAGTAGCCTTTCGGAGTTATAGAAATACCTCGGCATTGTTGAATCGAAGTCAGTAATTCAACTTTATGTTCGCTTAAGGCACGGTTGGTTTAAATTTAGTTTTGTAATATAAAACGATAACATTGAAAAGGGACTCTGATACTGTAAAACTAGTTCAAGAGAACACTAGTTTGTTATATGATAAGATTATAATTTAAATGCTTGGGCGAAATACCGTGGATACTTGAAGACTTCAGATTGAAATGCACCGGGAAGTTCATCAGAGGTATTCGTTAAATTTCATTGTGAAAGGTCGACTTATGGCAAGAGGTATTCATATCTTTTAAGATCATAACAACTGCATACTCATCACTTCATTTACATCGGAGTCTATAAGCACTTTGAAGTTTTCTTCAATCTTCGACCTGTGAAGATTTAATGGCTGTCTAATTATCTACAAGATAATTATTATTATTTGTATGAATCATTATAGATTTTAGACAACTGTAGTTAGTTCAAGCCAATCATTCTATGGAATTGCAATTTTAGGCAAACTGATAAGAGTAGAGATTCACTTAAATTTACTCATCTATGGATTGGAATTTTATTTCCATTGGCGTTTGATTTTTACTGCCTTGCTATCCGACAGACATACAGAACTCGGAAAACAATGTCTCAGTTTTACCACATATGGATCCCCATCCTAGTTGGTCTGTTAGATATGAAATTCAGGCTGCTCTAGCGTGTCGATGACATGAGCAGTTACTCTCTTTCGAGTTAAGTAGTACGAAATACGATTATGGCCAATAACTTCTTTATAACAATTTAACAGATTTTAGAAATGCTAAAAGTGACATACTGAAGAGATACCATGAGAAAATATGTGGGTAAAATAAGTTCAATGGTACCTAGAGTGTTGTTTTTTCCAGCTGATACGGGCAACTGATGAGACCAAATTATCACAACAAGGAAGATATTCTTATTTGTCAAGGAGCACTATGCTACACCAGGAAAAATGTAGGCCAATTCATTTTACCCCAAAAATGAATATTTAACAAAATAATCAATATATGAGAACAAAATCAATTACTACTTATTTGTGGCACACTTTTTTGATACCACTAAAATACACACTTTTAAATCAACCGGAAGTAATAAACGCAATCAGTTCACAAAATATCAACGAAAGTTTAGCAGTTCAACATGGCTACTGCCACAAACAATCTTGAGGAAAACAATTATAAAATAATCATCGAAAGACCTAACAAAACCAAGGAGTTATTAGAGACTCAAAGTTTGTGAACATTAAAGTAATAGTAAATGTAATCAATCGTAATGACAAAAATATATGAAAAAACAGAAAATCGAAAAATGAGCAGTTCACACCACAAGAGCTTAAGGGGCCAATAATGAGAAAAACACATATATGGAGGGATTTACTTCATTTTCTCATCAAAATGTACCATGTTGAATTTCACAGAGTCTTTGGGTCAGTTTTGATATTCATGTCAGTCCACTCCAATGTTTTACAAGTTGATCGCGTGTGAGTTATAAATACAAATAAACCTAGTTTTCTGCTCATTCGTTTTTCCTGTTATACAACTAAACCAGTCTTAAGTGGACTACTGATTTATGTAGCATCAATTGGGCAAGTACTAAAAAAATTGTGTACACTCGATATTACACCGTCGAGGCAAATCGAACGACACCGCAGAGAACAGTAATAAGAACTCATACGTATTTAAACACTGGTTTCAACATGTGGCAACATGATGATACTAAAACAGGAAAAATTTACTGAATTTCTCTAACCTTGGGAGCGTACCGATCATATATAGGGATTTCAAGGCCTTGTTTCATGGGCGTTACTACAAATTCCATCGTGTACCGTTAAAATAATCTTAACTGGCGACCTAACAGATTTTCTACTCACAACTACTAGCCTTGCAATCCGTTAGCATGATTTCACATGAATTTATATCAGAATGATGCGGTGATCAAGGCGAATTCTACTATGAGAATCTATATACAACTTGTAACTTTATTTCATAAGGCGTTCGCTTAGTATTTTCCCGTCAAATCTGAAATAGATCAGTATCATCGTCTTCTAAACATCTCGTTATTTTTTGAAGTACGCTTGTTTTATATACGTATCGAATGTTAAAACTATCTCTAGAAGTCTTCGGAAATCACTGTTACCTTCATTAGCTTCAAATGGATGATTCAGGAAAAATAGATTAAGCAGGAACTTGAATACAAATGTTTATATTGTATATTTAAGTAATTGAAACAACTGACATGTACAGTAGCAATAAACAGAAGAAAAGTATGATAAGATTGAATGGACACAACTGGATTGAAATGATAGTAGTATTGGAGAAACAAGAAAAATTAAACATTTTGGTAATTAAACTGGAATTATATGGACACATTATTGTATTTTAGCGCGTTAGTTTCCTGCGGGATGGGGTCGCTAAACCTATGCTCAACCCTCGTAATTCATCTGGGCTTGGGACCGGCGGAATCCCCAGGCGGAGTTATCGACACTGATATTATAATTAATGAGATGTGTAGTAGAATGATATAACTCCAGAAATTTACTAGACCACTCTAATCTATATTATATTGAAGTGAGTCCAAACAGTCCGATGCCAATTAGCGTGCCTCAAATCTGTGTAAACTAATGTGATGATGAAGTATGTGCTAGGTTTGATGCTATCACGAGTTTACTTAATCTGCGAACGGAACAAAAACTAGATGACCAATGTCCAATAAGCTAGATATCCTGATGCGTCCA